TTAAGTGTTGCCGAGATGAGAATGATTAGGTGGATGAGTGGCTTTACACTTAGAGACAAAATGTGAAATGAATATATTCGTGATAGGGTTGGTGTAGCTCCTGTGACGGACAAAATTAGAGAAAGTCGTCTTAGATGGACTGGTCACATTAAACGTCGACCATCTGATGATCCGATTAGGAGAGTAGATGTTTTAGATTCGACTTGTGTTAAGAAAGACGGAGGTAGACCGAGGAAGGCTTGGGCTTATTGTATAAAAAATGATCTTAATTTACTAGAACTAAATGAAAATATGACACTAAATAGGACGCAATGCAAAAAAAGGATTCATGTATCCGACCCCACGTAGTGGGATTAAGGCTTTGTTGTTGTTGTCGTTGTATCAAGTGTGAGCCTGGAAACCCTTTCAAGAGAAGTATTCTTCTTTGTTGAAGCCTGGAATTATACCTTGCTTCTTTTTTAAAATATTTCAGTCATTTCAAATTTATTTCATACTTTTTCTCAAGGCCGTCCTACATCCAATGTGGTTGTTAAAAGGATATTGAAACAAACAATAAATTCACAGACCTACAGCTTAAATTACAGCTTAGGTTGTATTTATCAATACAGAATGGCATTAGTTACCAATTGATAAACTCATGCTAAGGTACCATACAAAGATAAAAGAGAACTGACATCAACTTTATATGCTCCAAGCACTTGAATCTTTATGAAAAAATTTTATTTGGCATAAAATATAAACTAAAATGCAAGAGGCTAGTTTCAGTAGAGTGAATTCCACCTGTCAAAGTTATCTCTACTTCAAAACTTTTTAAAAATACAAAACATGTTCACTCAGACAGAGAAAAATACATGCAATAAAGCAAAGTACCTAGTCTGTTATTGCCCATTTCTATTACAGAATCGCAGTGCGGAGTAGAAACGAGACAGTAAAACTATCGAATGTCATACTTCCACAATCACGATTTAGTGAAAATTTGAAAAAAAAAATTCAAATAGAAAAAAATTGAATATCACCGTCATTATTACCTTATTCCAGCTCTTAGGGTTCTGGCTAAAAGAGAGTAAAAAAATGCTCAAAAAATCATTTCCTGCTAATCTAGCTCTTTCAAATTCACTTGATAGGATGATTAGAAGAGATGAATTTACCAAACAGGGTGGAAATAAAACAGATGGAGAATCACAAGATGCAGAATTTATCACACAAGGCGTATATTGGGATAACGATTTCCGTGATTTGAACGCCTACCGGATCGAGGGAGAGACGCTTGCAAAGAGCATAAATGATGGCCCTGTTCCTTCTAGAAGTGAATTCTCCTAAGCTCGTCGCCTCCATGTCCAACGCCATTCCTCGCTTCACACACAGAAAGAGGATGGAACCTACGGAGTCACAGCCTTTGGCCTCGGAGTCGCCCTAAAAGTGGAACAGCCAAAGATACGGTTTTTTTTCGCAGTGTTAGATTCTGACAAATGATTCGTTCGTTCTAACAAAAATTCAGTTCATGATTTTTATAGCATATGTTAAGAATATCTGTGAAATAATATGCAACAATAAACTGCTACACATTTTGAAGGATAAATTTTTCCGTGTATAAAATTAAAGAAATATCTTTGCAATTTTTTTTTAGATATTTGAAAAAAATTATTTGCAGATGAAATTAGCATCAATAAAAAAAATGAACTCTTATCTTCAAAAACAAGTGTTTAAAGATTGAAATATTTGAAATTTGTTTGAATTGATCCAAACATGATGGAATTCGAAACAGACAAAAATCCAAATAGGAATTTTGTTTGAACGAGATTCAAATTTGTTGATCCCAGCTTTATAATTCAATGAGATCCAATAAATAAAACATAAATAAAAAGAGATGTCATTTTCAAAAATGGAGGAAGTAGATGAATGAGACTTGGAATTTAGTTTTCTGCATAAAAATACTACCTTATATTTAATTGCATCTATTTATAGTGGTTGGCCTCATAAAATGACGTATTTGGGTTTATCTTATCCATGACCTCTAATTGTAGAGGCCCCAAATTCTTATCACCATTTTCTTATAGTAATCTAGGGTCCTTGAAGAAGTCAACTTTTGACTGGGTTGTTGAGGCATGGATGTTGAGCATTTGATCCTGAATGATCATCTTCCAACACTTTGCTCTAGATGCTCGACTTCGGTCACTTGGCTTCTAATACCTAATTTATACTACCCAACAACCTCGGTTGCTTGACCTCGATTTTCAAGCTTTGATCGCTCAGCCAGGTCTCTCAAACTCAGTCACTTAGCCTTAGTTGTTCCACTTCTTTAACATTGGCGGTTGTGTCTAGTTGTCCAACTTATTATTTTAACTAGCCCTAAATGGCTTCGGTTGATGGATGCTTTGAGTTGTTAGATTTTCATTGACCTAGACAATCAGATGCGTGGTGACTTGGATAGTCGCTTTTTGACTATACAAAACAAAATTTGAATTAGGTTCAAATGTGAGTTTGAACCTACTATCAAAATTTTGAGGGCACAATTCATCTATCACTTTACTAAGCTTAGCCTAATATGCTCCCTTCACCCCATCCCCCTAAAAATTTTTTTGTCATTAATCTGTATTCACACTCCATCAACCCCATATACACCTTTCCCACAGTCAACTATCATTGCATATCACTCTCTTCTTCACACATTGCTAGTCTCATCCACCCCTTCTCTTAGAAGATGATGTCATGAACCCCTTCTTGATTTATATGTCATCAGTCTAATCAATTTTTCCCCTAACAAGCTCTCATCATAGACCCCGCTTTTTTTTACATTTCTCTAGTCTCGTTGATGCCTTACCCAATGAGCTCTCATCATGGACCCCTATTTTTTTCACTTGTTTGTCTTGTTGATGCCTTTCCATAGTGGGTTCTTGTAAAACCCTCATAGCCTCGTGAAGTTAATTTAGTCATTTTTGTTAAATTTCAATTTTGAGCTCAAATTCAAACATAATTTGAACATGGATTTGATTAAGTTTCGAACACTATGAGCATGTTTAAATCATTTTCAAATGCTTTGACTTTGAAAAAGAAATCCTATAAATATAAGAGGAGAGACCTTAAGGGATTTAGTAGCCCAGTTTTAATGGGATTGTTGTCTTGATTTAACGTAAATCCGTCATACACTTGGAGGCGCTAAATCCAGACCTCCGCTAAATACAATATTTCATGTGTCGCAACGTAAATTCCAGATTTACTAAATCTATTTGAGACTTGGATTTAAGGGATTTAAGGAGTTGAAATAACAATATGTTAAATTCTTATAAAATGTAAGCATAAGAGATGAATTTAAGCGGATTTAAGTTAAATCATACCAAATATCTTCTTGGATTGAAGAGCGCCATTAAATCCTACTTAGCCTAAATCATACATGCACCCATTCACCCCCTTAAGAGTAATTGTAGCCAAAAAATAAACTTTATTCAAATAGTTGTGTCTGTCATCCACATAAATTTTGACAAAATATACTTATTTAGTTTATAATGAAATATGCACGCCAAACAAAATTGATCTTAGATAAGCCTTAATAAGATTTAAATTTTACAATACGAGGCACACAATAAGATACGCTTAATGATTTTTTGAAAGAAAGAATATAATGAATATTACATTTAACATGTGTTATTTATTTTATATGTCTCACAAAAATAAAACACACCTTAAAGAGCATCACCCAATTTGGGTAACTCATGTTTGATTAGAATTTAATTTTTTTCCTTAACATCTTTTAAATAAATCACTTACAAAATAATACTGCTCAAGCATGTCTCGCCTAACTCATGCATGTCTTAAGTCATGGCAAACGCTTTCTCACACGATCAATCACCACTTCTTATACTCGTTACATACCTTTTATACCATTATTAGCCCTCTTCGTCTCTTTCATTGTCATCGTTGCCTTCATCTTTTTTTTTCAAACACGATAGCATTTTAGGCATTTTCTGAAGACCTATTCCCGTCGGTAATTTATGTTCTGCCATTGATTTTAAAGTTTGTAACGGTTTTATGATGGAGATTATGTCATTGCTTCTATGTTTATTAGAAATCAGTTTACGCCGGCCTGTCGACAGGCTTATGAGTTCAACAGGCTTTCGACAATCATTTGACTGTCGATTTATTTTTAAAGGACTACGCCAAGTTGTTTATAATTATCGATGATCCTATGGGATTACCTGTCAAATTTTTTCGGTTTAAGAACTGATAGCCTAATGCTTATCATTTTATAAGTGTTAACATTCTGGTGGCAACTTTGTTGGTTAGCCGTCAAAAAACAGTAACTGAAAAAAAAAAAAAACTTCCTTGGTTCATTAGAATTTATACAGTTGTAATTGAATCACAAAACTACAAGAAATATAGACCACACAATATGATATATCTATTCACGCAAATACAAAACTAGAACCATATATGCAACCAAAAATTGAAAATAAATAAATTATATATTAAACAACAGTAAATGAAATAATTAGTATATAACAAATTTATAAATGTCACGAAACAGAATATGAAATAATAGCACAATTGCTCATCATTGATCTTGCCATCCTCGTCCTCATACTTCTCCTCATTCACTTACATTGGCTGCTTCCCTCCAGACGTGCCCACATCGCACCTCCTCTAGTTTCATTTTCATTCTCACCTCCATCTCAGTGAGCTAAGTAGCAAATCAGGCTTTTAAATCTTCAGTGAAAAACGTGACCTGTCGATGAAGTTCATCAGCGTCTTGGGAATATGTTAAGCTCTGACTGAAGAAGTGACATGAGTCATACACAAGTCCATGTTAACCCACAACATAAATCCTTCGTTTCTTCTTTCCTCTAATGACTTATCTCCATAAGTTATAGTCCAACTAACAAAATTTGCTACATTGGTTAGAAACTCCTCCCGAGCATTGAATTTGATCCTCCTTCAACTTTTGACTGTCATCCTTCAAAAGAATTATAAAGGATATTTAGAGCAAAATTAAATTTCAAAATAATTGTAATTTTATAAAAATTATTTTTCCACTTACACGTGCTCTCTAAGACTAGTGTCAACCACAAGTAGTTTGACTGACTTTGAAGAGTACGAGCACGTAGCTCAACCGTGATGGGCCTCATCCAAGTTGCAGTGTCTGTTAAGATAAGAAAAAAGTTACTAAATAATTATTATCCTGTACAAAATAACTCTTACCATCCTCTTCTTGTATTCTATATGTGGGAGCGCCCCTCCACTCTGTAGGGAGGAGTTCGTGTCCTCCACATTCTAAAGCCCTGTTCTGTCTCACTTGTCAACTGTTTTTGACAATTTCAGAAGAGCGCTAGGCTCTACACGACTAGGTGTAGACGTCCTCCCCATGCCACGGAGGGTATATTCATGAACATATCACACACACAAGACTCTACGCTCCTCCTAATGTGCAAATGATGCTCGAGCCTCCAATAGAACTCCTTCTGCATGCATCATGAAAATCAATAAGTTAGATGGAAAACATTATACAACTTAATATTATTGTTTGGAGTTTAACTCAAACTCTCATAATCACGTATTTATTTCTTCAATTGGGATCACTGTCCACAATAAGCATGGAGCATCAAAATTGCTCTGTATGATGTCCCATATAGAAGAAACAACTTGCTTAGATGGATATAATCTAAAAGAAATATTATTAGTTTTATAACCAATAAGGAAATGATTTTATATTTTTATAATATGCATTATTTATGAATTTTCATCATACTCTAAGTCAAATGTGTGTCGTGTATCACATGATGCATCTGGATCTGTTGAAGTAGATGAACCTGCATGAAATGTAGGCTATGGTAGTGTTAGGATGGGAGGTGATCGTGTGTCTTACGATTGCGACAAGATTGGGGTGAAGGTATGTGCAGGAGAAGCGTTAATAGGTCACCAAGACAGGAGTGCTTGTATGTATGTTGTCGCATCATGGTGTTGCACTCTTCTTTGTCATAAGCATGTTGATGGTACCTTTACGAGGATGGTGATCATCACCGCCATGCAAAGTCAACACAAAAAAAAGTGAATTTATTAGTGCACTAAAAAAAAGAGCATAGTAAACAAAAATACGATCAAAATATAAAGTGCAATATACAAACTACAACTACTGAAAATAAAAGTAAGAAAATCAAATAGAATTATGATCAAAAAGTAAAATGCAATTAACAAACTACCACTACTAAAAAATAGAAATAATAATAATAAATAAAAGTTTAAACAATAAATAGAAGATGAACAACTATATAGAAGGTGAGATTGTAAACATAATTTAATTAAATTATTAAAAAAAGTTAAAGAATGCACACATCTTATTATGAATCAAAGGACGAGTGAATAGTGTATAAACATAGAATTTCTTCATGTAAATCATCACCAAAGTCATGCACAATCTAAGTAATTTCTTCACCTGCACCACCAACGTCCTCTTAAGAATCCAAAAATATAACATTTCTTCTTCTTTATGAGTGGGTTC